CCCCTTATCTGATATATCATTGGCAATTATGCTCTCCCATACAGTGGGTAGCCTTTCCATTTTGATGATTGTATCTTTTGCTGTGCAGAAGCTTTTGAGTTTGATGTAGTCCCATGTGTTCATTTTCTCCTTTGTTTCTATTGCCTTGGGTGATATATCAGTGAAAATTCTGCTGTGTATGATGTCTGAAATTTTGTTGCCTACAGTTTCTTCTAGGATTTTTATGGATTCATGAGTCACATTTAAGTCTTTTATCCATTTTGAGTTTATTCTTGTGTAGGGTGTAAGTTGATGATCTAGTTTCATTTTTTTGGATGTAGCTGTCCAATTATCCCAGCACCATTTATTGAAGAGGCCATTTTTACTCCACTGTATGCTCTTGCTACCTTTGTCAAATATTAATTGAGCATATTGCCTTGGGTCCATTTCTGGGTTCTCTGTTCTGTTCCACTGGTCTATATGCCTGTTCTTGTGCCAGTACCAGGCTGTTTTGATTACACTGGCTTTGTAGTATATCCTGAAATCTGGAAATGTGATCTCTCCTACTTTGTTCTTCTTTTTCAAGATTGCTGTGGCTATTCGAGGTCTTTTTTGGTTCCATATGAACTTTTGAAGTATTTGTTCTAATTCTGAGAAGTATGCCGTTGGTATTTTGTTGGGGATTGAATTGAATCTATAGATTGCTTTGGGTAGTATGGACATCTTAATGATGTTAATTCTTCCAATCCATGAACAAGGTATTTGCTTTCACTTTTTTATATCTTCCTCTATTTCTTTTTTCAATGACCTGTAGGTCTCTGTGAATAGGTTCTTTGTTTTTTTTGGTTAAGTTTATTCCTAGGTATCTTAATTTTTTTGCCGCAATGGTAAATGAGATTTTTTTAGTTTTTCTTTCTGTGAGTTTATCATAACTCACAGAAAGAATGTATAATGCATAAGAATGCTGTCAATTTCTTGACGTTAATTTTGTATTTTACTACTTTTCCAAATTCATTTATTAAGTCTAGTAAATTTTTGATGGAGTCTTTGGGGTTTTCTGTGTATGGTATCATGTCATCTGCGAATAATGACAGTTTCACTTCCTCTTTTCCAATTTGGATGTCTTTTATTTTTTTTTCCTGTCTGATCGCTGTGGCTAAGACTTCCAGTACCATGTTACATGAGAGTGGAAAAAGTGGACATCCCTGTCTTGTTCCTGTTCTTAAGGGAAATGTTTTAGTTTCTTCCCATTGAGTATGATGTTGGCTGTAGGTTTTTTATATGTGGGCTTTATTATGTCGAGATATGATCCCTCTATTCCCACATTGCTGAGCATTTTTATCAGAAATGGATGCTGGATTTTGTTGAAGGCTTTTCCAGCATCTATTGATATGATCATGTGGTTTTTATTCTTCATTTTATTTATGTAGTGTATCACATTTATTGATTTGCGAATATTGTACCAGCCTTGCATCCCTGGCATGAATCCCACTTGGTCATGGTGAATAATTATTTTGATGTGTTGCTGGATTTGATTTGCTAGTATTTTGTGCAGGATTTTGGCTTCTATGTTCATCAGGGATATTGGCCTGTAGTTTTCTTTCTTTGTAACATCGTTTTCTGGTTTTGGAATTAGAATTATGCTAGCCTCATAAAACGAATTTGGAAGTCTTCCTTCTTCTGGAATTTTTTGAAATAGTTTGAGGAGAATGGGTGTTAGTTCTTTTTTGAATGTTCGGTAAAACTCCCCCGTGAAGCCGTTCGGGCCTGGGCTTTTGTTTGCTGGGAGAGTCTTGATTACATCTTCAATTTCCTTAGTTATTGGTCTGTTCAAGTTTTGTTTTTGTTTTTTTCCTCACCCGAGGACATTTTTCCATTTTTTGCACAGATAGAGTGGGAGGGAGAGAGAGGAAGAGAGAGAGAGAGAGAAACATCGACGTGAAAGGGACACATCGAGTGGCTGCCACCCGCACGACCAACCAGAGCCGGGGACAAACTGCAACTGAGGTACATGCCCTCAGCGGGAACTGAACCCGGGTCTCTCCGGACTGCAGGCCGATGCTCTAACCACTGAGCAAAACCAGCCAGGGCTGTTCAAGTTTTCTATCTCTTCCTGGTCCAGTTTTGGAGCTCATTTCTTTTTAGCATTAAATAATAATTCCATTATCTCAGTGTACCAGTTTATTTATCCATTCACCTACTGAAGGACATCTTGGTTGCGTCTAAGTTTTGACAATTATGAATAAAACTGCTATCATGTAGGTTTTTGTGCGGACAAAAATTTTCAACTCCTTTGGGTAAGTACCAAGGAACATGGTCTCTGAATTGTATGGTAAGACTATGTTTAGTTTTGTGAGAAATCGCCAAACTGTCTTCCAAAGTGGCTGCAGCATTTGCATTCCCTCCAGCACTGGCTCAGTCTCTCGCTCCCCAGCACTGGTGCTGTCCGTGGTCCACATTTTGGCCATTATATTTGGTGTGTGGTGGCATCTCATTGTTACTTTAATTTGCTTGTCCCTGAACACATATGTGGAGCATCTTTTCTTATGCTTTTTTTTTTTATTAGTAAAATATACATAACATAACATTTACAATTTTTACCATTTTTAAGTGTACAGTTTTGTAGCATTAAATACCCTCATGTTCTTGTGCAACCATCACAATTATCAATCTCCAAAACGCGTTCATCTTCCCAAACTGAAAGTCTGTATCCATCAAATGCTAACTCCCCATCCCCTCCTCCCTCTGGCCCCTGGCAACCACTGCCCTGCTTTCTGTCTCAGTGAATTTGATGGCTCTAGGAACCTCGCGGAAGTGGGCTCCTAGGTGTTTGTCCTGCTCTGACTGGCTTTGGGTGACATCTTTGACGAGAGGTTTTCCCAGGTGTTGCTGTGCACTTCTGATGCCCCCATCAGGAGGTTCGCAGGAGGCTGCATCCTGCCTGCCCGCCTCTCCCACCCAGCTGCCCTTTCCGCCCTGGCAGACCCCTCAGCATCTTCTGGATTTCAGCATCAGCGTCCCCCTCGTAGATGCTTTCCTGGGCGCCCACACCACTTTCCCACAGTGCTTTCCTCTTTCACTTTCTTCACGGCACACTCAGGACAACCTGACATGACCATGTTTGGTATCTGTTTGCCTGTTCACCGTCTGTCTCCCAGGTCAACTCCGTGACATCAGGAACCTGTTTGCTGCGGTGACCCCAGGTCCTGGCAGCACTCCTAGCACATGACAGCGGCTTGACCTAGTTTCCTCTGCTGCTCTAACAGGTGTCCTCAAACACAGTGGTTCACAAACAACACAAGCGTATTAGCTTATGGCTCAGGAGGTCAGAAATCCTAAATCAGTCTCTGGACAGGGCTGTGTTCCTTCTGGAAGCTCCGGGGGGAGAATCTGTTTCCTTGCCTTTTGCAACTTCTAGAGGTCCCTGTGCTCTTGGACCCACAGTCTCAGGTCACCGGGACTTCTGTTTCTGCCATCCCATCTCCCGTCTGCGTCTGCCCCACGGCCCTCCGTGGGCCTGTGGCTGCATGGGGCCCATCTGGATCGCCCAGGCACTCTCTGACTCACCTTAAACACATCTGCAAAGCCCTTGTGATTCGTAAGGGCACAGGTTTTGGGACTTAGAGGTGGACAGTTTTGGGGGGCTACTATTCTGTTCACTAAAGGACTCCGTAGATATCTGTTGAATGGAGGGTAAATGAGTGGGTGTGTCCCTTCCCAAACGGAATGCTGAGTTCTGAATCCGAGGCATGGCTTAGCCGCCCCGGCTGTGGGAGCAAGCCCCTTCTCTGAGCTTCAGTTCTGTCCTTCATTAGATGTCTTCTGAGCGCCCACTGTGTACCCCTCTTCGAAACACTGGTAAACAAGACAAAGAAAAAGAGACCCTTGCCTTCGGAGAGCTTAAAAGTTGGCTTCTGGCGAGGGGTCTGAGAGTGAGAAAACCTGGCAGTCTCAGGTCCACATTCTAGGTCACCCCTGAGAACTCGAAAGTCCTGAGTGGCGGGCCTACCTAGAAGGTGACCTTTCAAATGGCTCTTGATGCACGAGTAGGAGTTTATGTGGTAGAGAAGTGGAAAGGGCATTCACAGCCTGGGACCGGCCACAGACTTCTTTCAGGAACTGTGAGGAGTGTGGCTGAAGCCAGTGGGGGCGGAAACACGTCTGGGCAGGAGGCCTCGAAGGTCACGGTCAGGAGCTTTGGCTTCACCCTCAGGTAACAGGACCACAGCAGGGTTCTGAAGCATGAGACACGTGTGCAGCTCTGAGTCTGGGCTGCTCGCTCTGGCCACGGCCGTGCAGAGGGGGTTGAGGGGCTAGTGTCCGAGCCTGAGATGGAGGTGGCCTGGACTGGGCAGGGACAGTGGGATGGAGAGGAGAGGACGGTCTGAGAGAGGTTTAGGAAGTGGGACACAGAGAGAGACTGAGAGGGGTGGGCGAAGAGCTCAGAGACAGCTGGGAGGGGAGACAGGCACCATGGAAGCTCCTTGCAACTGCTGAGTGGCCGTGAACTAGCCCAAGTGGCACTTTGTGAGAAGCCAACCTGGTGAGTGCATAGGCCTGTCCCCTGGAAGAGAGATCAACTGTGACCGCCAATGGTACAGTTGAGCGTTTGGGGCTGTTTAGCACCTGTCCTCATTCTTGCTTGGTTTACTAACACACACTGAGGTAAACAGGGAGGGCCGTGGAACCCCCTCCCCCATTTCCGGAGACACACCAGGACACACTCGTGCAGGCCCTCGGAGCTCAGGCCTCCAAGAGGCCCAGTTCAAGGGAGATTTTGCAAGTCTCTTGAGACCCAGAGCGGAGGTGGGTGGGGGTCCCCCCTGATGGTTTTCGGCCACAGAAAATTTCCTCCAATACAAAGGAAGCGGGAGTTCTTCTTTCGTAATGTGATTGTAGAATTCCTTGCTCACCGCTGACTAAGAGTGTCTGAGGCTTGTGGGTGTAGCCAGCGCTTAAATATCAGGCTGTGTTGTCTTCCGGCGATCGTAGACACCTGGGCTGACACGAAGGACAGGAGCATGGCCAGCCTCCAGGCCCCGCTGCTGGCCGCCCTCGTCCTTCTCGCTACGGCACTTCAAGCAGCAGAGGCAGGTGAGGCTGGAGACGCAGTCTCTGTGCGTCCCTCTTCCTGACCCTCTCTCAGACTTGTCCTCTCCTCTCCACCCCCTGCTCCCGCCAGCTCAGCTATGTCTCCTGCTCACCTCGGTGTTTGTCAGTAAATTAAGCAAGAATGTGGACCCTGCAGAAGCCAGGGTCGCACCCTGGGCATCTTTCCAGTGTGGTGGAAAGACACTGGGCGGAGAGCAGGCACCCTGGTCAGCCGCTGGCCCTGGAGCTATTGCTTCCCTGGGCCTCTGCTTGCACGTCTGTTACATGGGTAGTTTGAAGGCTTGAGTCTAGAATCTGTCTCAGCCGGCTTAGGGTTGTGGTAGGCATGGTCCAGGATCCTCGACCCCAGAGAACTGGAGCAGGGGGCCCGTCGGGTGTGGAGAAGGAGCCGCCAAAGAGGGGCGGCTGGGGCAGGGGACAGGAGCTGGGCCGAGGATATTCCCTGGGAAAGCTGGCCTTGCCCTCCCACCACCCCACTTTTTGCTGCAGAACTGCCCGCAACCCTGGGACCCTGACTTCTTCACACCATTGTAAACGCCCTGCCCTGAGGTGGGGAGGGGAGGGGCCTGGACTGGGATTCGGGCAGTAGGAACAGTAATGGGATTCCTGTGTGCTTTCCTTTCCTTAAAGGCCCTCAGAGTCAGTGCTATTATTACCTCCGTGGTCAGAGGAGGAAGTTGGGCCTCAGATTTAAATGGTTTCCCTCAGTGGCCGGGTGACTCAGGGCAAGTGGGACTCTAGCCCCAGTCTTTGCGATTGGACTCTGCCCAAGTCCTTGTCCTGACTCCCCAGAGTCGTGCTGTGTGACTCTGGACACAGCCTCTCCACTGGCTCCATGAAGGGGTTAAAGTGGATGTGAACTGAAGCAGATTTCTGAATCACCTGGTATCTGTCAAATGCCTTCCAATTCAGCAGCTTTGGGGCCGGGAGCCGAACATTTCTGACCAGCTCCCAGGCGATGCTGATGGTGCGGGTCCGAGCATCTCACCTTGAAGAGCAAGGTTTGAAGGCTCCTCCCTGTTCAGAGTCTCTGGGTTCTATCCAGAAGCTTAGGGCACCGTGGATGCTCATTGGCTCTGAATCCCTCGCCCTTGACCTGACAGACCGGAGTAAGGACACTGGGCCCTTAGTGGCTTCTCAGAGACCTAGGATCAGGGACATTGAGGGCCCAGAATCCTCTAGACACCAGCCTTCCACGTGAGAACAGATAAGCTGTGTCAGAGGCTGGGGCGGAGGGAGACTCCCCGATGCCCAGCCCGTGACTCTTCCGAGCACCCCTCTCCCCCAGGCCCTTACGGAGCCAACATGGAGGACAGCATCTGCTGCCGGAGCTACGTCCAAAACCCTCTGCACTCGCGCGTGGTGCGGCATTTCTACTGGACTTCGCACTCCTGCCGGAGGCCTGGCGTGGTGTGAGTGGAACGCTGGGGAGGCAGGGCGGGGGCAGGCCAGCCGGGTGTGGCCCAGGAGGGCCTCGGTGCAGGTGGGTGGGGGCGTGCAGCTGGGCTCCCAGATGCCAGCGGGAGTCCTTGGCTGGAACCGATGGCTCAGCCAGGCTGGGATGTACCCAGAAACAAAGTCATATGACCACTCAAGAAATATGGGGTCCCTACTATGTGCCAGACAGCATGCCAGGCTCTGAGGATGCAGAGCTGAACGAACATGTGTCCCCGACACGTGCATGGTGGTGTAGACAGTGTAGACTATAGGGAGGGAGGTACAGGGCATAGGTAGTTGCCTGATGCTGTGGAGCCAGAAGCATCTTGGACCCTCCCCAAGGCCCTGGGTGTTATTCAGGGCAGCCACTCTTCCCAGGAAAAAAGTATTAAGAGCTCACACTTACAGATCCGGGCCAGACACCGTTCTGAGCATTACTGCATTGAGTCATTTGCCCCTCACAACAACCCTATGAGGAGGTGCAATTATGCCCATTTTACAGGTGGAGAAACAAGTTCAGGGAGGGAAAGTGACTTGCTCAAGGTGGCCCAACTGGAACCAGGACTCTTGGGTGCTTGTTCAGGGTTTTCTCCTTCTTTGCTCCTTTCTCTTTCTTTACTTCCTTCCTCCTGGCATGGAGCTCATGCTTGTGCCTGGCCCTGGCTGGGGGACCTGGCTTGTCCTTTCCGGTGCAGCCCAGCCGCTGCTCCAGCTTCTCAGAGCCTGTGGCCAAACCACACACTGAGGGGGAGTTGGGCTTGGGAACTCCTGGTATCGTCTCATGACATCGTTGGGGCTCTGTCATCTTCCTCCTCCTCATTCATCTTCATCCTTCAGAGGGGTCTGGAGGTGAATAACAAAGAAAGTTGAAGCAGGGAGCCCTCCTAGGGCTCTTGTCACTTCAACTCTGAGCCTCGGTTTCCCCATCATGATCCCAAAATGATCACCTTTATTTATTTTTATTTATCAAATTTGTAGTGAGTGCTTGCCAAGTGCTAGGCACTGGTATAAATAGTAGCTTGTTTAACCCTTAAGACAACCTTATGTAGTAGGTACTGTGATGATCCCTTTTGTGAATATATATATATTTAGAGAGAGTGGGAGGAAGGGGGAGAGAGAGAGAGAAACCGATGTGAGAGAGGAACATTGATGTGAGAGAGATATATTGATTGGTTGCCTCCCGGACATGCCCCAACTAGGGCCAGGGTTTGAACCTGCAACCCAGGTACATGTCCTTGACCAGGAATTGAACCTGAGGCTCTTCAGTCCATGGGCTGACATTAACTGCTGAGCCAAACTGGCTGATGATGATCCCCTTTTTACAGATGGAGAAATGGGCACATAGAAGTTATAGGGCATCACAGGGCACAATAATACTAAGTGGAAAGTGTAATGCCTGGCATATACTAGATGCTCAGTAAAAGATAGCACATGTGTGATTATTGGACTTTGAGCTGGAAGGGAGTCTAGAAAGAATGTGGCTTGACAAATGAAGAGATTGGGGGCTGAACCTTGCCCAAAGTCACACAAGAAACAGGGCAGGCTGCCCACATGGCCAACACTGCAGCCTTCTTTGTTCTTTCTGTTCATTGGTGGTCTGTGGGGTGGGGCAGGTGAGGGAACTAAGGGGAGCTAGGAGCTCCTAGGCCCCAAGGACAGGTTCTTTCTTGAAAGGCAGGAAGGGAGTCCTGGGCTGGGGGATGTCCTACCAATAATGGTGGGGACAGAGCACCCCAAGGGCCCAGCTTGGTGTTTGCCACAAATTGGGCAAGGGTGGGAGCCTTTGCCCACAACTGTTGTGTGATGGTGGGCCAGTGTTCACCTCTCTGTGCCTCGGGCCTCTCACAGGGGTCTGTGGGGACTGCCCCCTGAGAGTCCCACTCACAGCCAGCACTGTGAGCCTGACCTCACCAGCTCTGGCACTCAGGCAAGTTGCTTTGACTCATTTCCCTCAGCTAGGAAATGGGTAGAATAATCAGATCTCATAAGATTGTTTAAGGATTTATTACGAAAATTAACGTTAAGAGTTCAGGTCAGCTCCTTGCACAATTATATAGACCTACCATCTGCTATGCACTTCAATTTATATTAACTCATTAAATCTCATCGAAATCCTGTGAGGTTGGATCACGATTATCATCCCCACTTTACAGATGTGGAAACTGAGGCTCAGAGAGTTAAAGGACTTGTTAACAAGTGGCCAAACTAGGATTTTAACACAGATAAGCTGGCTCCAAAGTTCATGCTCTCAGCCACTACTCAGTATTCTCTCTCCCAAGGCAACGTCGGCAATGATCATGAGACTCTAGGGCACTCTGTTCCCTGGCCTGACCTTGCACTCAAGGCTGAGGCTGAGGGATGAGGGTCTGGGAAGTTCTGCTGCTCATTCCCCCTCTCCTCCTTAAGGAATGTGTTTGCATACAGCAGGTGGCTCATAAATGCTAAGCTACTCTATATAGAAGGCACCTCTACATGCAGTAGGTGACTCATAAATGCCAAGCTTTCTGGGTGGGATGTGGCATACTCCCTGCATGCTAATGCTGTCTCATCGTCTGTCTGGCATCTTCTCCTTCAGCTTGATAACCCTCAAAAACTGGGAGATCTGCGCTGATCCCAGATTACAATGGGTGAAGAAGATTCTCCAGAAGCTGGACCATTGAAGAAGGATCCTGCCCTGGTGACCGTGGCCTTGGCTCCTCCAGGAAGGCTCACGGAGCCCTACCTTTCTGCCATTACAGCTGCTCCCCAGCCAGTGACTCTCTGCAATCCCTGATCTGCGTCCCTGCAGCTGTCACCCTCCACACTGTCTCTCTCATCTCCCTGTTTACGTCTCCAACACACCCTCTGCCCCTCTATTGCCAGAGGGTCCACAATTCTGATCAGTCAGTCCCCTGCTCAAAATCCTTCCATAGCTCCCCACTGCCCTAGGCTGAGGTCAGAGCTCCTGAGCCTGGCACCCCTGCCCTCTGGGTCCCCCCTCTGTCTCCAGCCCAACTCATTTCCCTTCATGCATGTTGGATTCCAACTCCCTGTTCTCCAAACCCATGCCATACATTTCTCCTCTGGGCCTTTGCCCTTGCGACCCTTGACACCCAGGGTGTCTCCCCACCATCTGCACGTGCCCAACCCCCAGCCCTCCAAGGCATTGCTCAGCCTAAGCAGCCAGTAAAAGTTTCACTTTTAATTGAATTATTTTTTTCCTTCCATGCTTAGGTTAGCAGAGTCCATGTCTGTCCCTTTCTACTAGAATCCTAAGTGACATGCTATTTCTAAGGAATTAGGTTTCATTTGTTAGATTTCCACTGGCCCTTTGCCCTTAACAGCCCTGATTACAGTCTGCCCAGAATTATTGCAACTGAGGAGCTTGTCCTCCAGCCACACTAGCTGGACCAAGGTCCACGCTTTGTCTCCTGGCCTCCAGGACAGAGCACAGGGCCTGGCTCAGAATCAGGGCCGCAGACTGAATCCATAAAAGTAATGTCCCCTAACCCTAAAGGCCCTCACACATCAGTACAGAGACTTCATCCAGGGAGGAGCCGGCTGGGCCCACTGTGGAGTCTCTCCGTTTGCCCAGTCACCTTTCTTCTCCAGCCTACCTCGTGCTGGGTCTCTTTACTCTTCTGTCTTCCCTCAGCTTTTACCGCTCCTCCAGGCTCCAAAATTCAGGCCTGACCTTTTCGGAGTCTCTGACTTTCCCTTCCTGTTTCCCCAAATAGCTGATAACTGACTTCACGCCGTGGTGTGATGACTCCCCTTGGCTTGGTATCACAAACGCCAGTTATATTTCTATATAAAAAGAAGGCAAGTGCTTGAGAGGCCAGACGGAGATGGGAAGACTTTCAGAAGCCGTGTGGGAGGGGACAATGCAGAGAGCGTTCCTGGCCCTGGCAGTGCCTGTGGCAGTTAAGTGAGAGCTTTAGGTGGAGTTGTTCTCAGGTGGCTGGGGCCAGGCTAACGACTGGGTCTGAGACTTAATTGCCCCTCCTTGGGGACCATGGATTCCCCAGATAAAGAAAATAAGCCTTACATGTGCTTGTTCCTTTTCAAGGGAGCCTAGTGCAGTTCAGTGGGGTGGCTGCTGCTGTGTGACCCTTAGGAGACCACCTGACCTCTCTCTGAGCCTCACCTGAGAATGAGAATTTCATTCTCTGCAGGGTGGCCATGGGGCTCAGGTCCAAGGGACGAGGAATGACTTTGCTGGCCATTAAATTCAGTGTCTTCCAGGGCCGGTGTCCCCCCTGGGGCCCAGGGTCATCTGCCTCCATGGACACCGGGAGTGTTAACCTGCCTGCTGCACATGCATAGAACCCTCAAATGTCCTGGGAGTCAGCCTCCCTTCCTGTTCTGCCCCTGCCCCTGCCCCTCAGGCCGTCTAGAAAATAAATCCTCTACAACAGTGTCTGCTTTGTTCCTTGCCATTTGCTGTTCCTGTGAGGTGGGCAGGGTGCACCATGGCACCTCTCTGCCAGTGGGAAAGCCCCTGACATTGACATGTGAACTGGTAAACCACCCGGTGAGGGGTGGGGGGCCGGGACTAGACATGAGGACCTGGGAAATAACTGCGCAGGTGCCAAGAGGGAAGACCAAACATTCGCCCGTCAGGCCTGGCCCACCCTGGGACCAAGTCTAGAGCTCTAAGCAGCATATCCATTCATTCAGTTATCCATTCAATAATCCAACCTCAACCTTCCCCCTTCAAGGGAAGACATGAAGGAAGAGAAGTGTGTTTTAATCAGGAAAGGCTACTTTATGCAACAAACTTCAAAATCTCAGTGGCTCAATTCCATAAAACGTTTCTTCTTCTCACATGAAGTCTGATCAGGTATGTGGGTGACTTTCCACACTGCCCTTCAGGGACCCAGTCTCCTTCCTTCTTATGGCCCCTGCCCTCCCCTGGGCCTGGACTTCTCTCCATCATCCAGCAGATGGGGAAAGAGAACAGAAACTTGTGGGAGGGCTTTTGAACCAGGCCAGGAAGAGGGGCTCATCACTCCTGCCCACGTGCCATTGGCGGAACTCAGTCACATGGCCACCCTGACCACAAGGGATGCTAGGAAGTACAGCAGGCTGTGTGTCCAGGAGGTAAAGGGAAAAGTTTGGAGAGCATCTACCTAGTTTTTCTGGTGCTGAGCTCCCCTGGACCCTCAAATGAGCCTACTGTCTTGGGACCCTGTAGGAGCACCCTGAGCTCCCTGCCAGGCTCCCCACAGCTGTTTCTGTTCTGCTTCCAGGGCCAGGGGAGAGTCCCTCATGTCCCACAAGACTGGTGCAGGCTGCCTGCCCTCTGGGGCACCCAGGAAGGTGTGGGCAGGGATCCCCGATGGCCCCCACTCCACTGCCCGCCGAGGAAACCCTGTTTCTTACAGCCCGGCTGCCGCTCCACGTTTCAGGCGCCTGCACAGCTGCACTTATTCCTCATTTCAGAACCTTACCAGCTCCTCTTTACCCCTGAACAGCACCCTCATCCCTCGATCCAGCTTCGAAGTGTCTGACTGCAGCCTCTCTGCCCGCCCCTTCCTTGGAGCCGATGGCATCAGACCATGCCCTGTCCCCTGCATAGGTCCAGTACTTCCCACCTTGGTCAGGTTTTTCCCTCTGCCCGGAATATCTGTGAAAGTCCCACCCGTCTGTGTACTGCAGGTTACTTGTGAACCAAGAGGGGAACACTTTTCCAGGGAGAGATCTATTAGTGGAATAACCTGTTTGTTGTGGTGGATATGACGGGTCATGTGAAGTACCCAGTATCACTCATAAGGAATTCTTGCCAAAAATGTGACTGGGATCGAATTGAGCCTGTAGACCTAACTCCCAGTTTACAGGAAATACACAGGATAGGGGAAGAGCTTAGATGATGTCACAAGGACATAATCAGGTAAATTAAGAATGAGAATAGTGTGTAAGACAATGGTCTTGACGCTTCAGAAACTAAGTGATGAACAATGTGTTGGGAGGTCTATCATAGAACCTAGGTTAGGTCCTGGTCCAAAAAGTTAAAGAGAAAAGGGAGGAAGGGAGAGAGGGAGGAGGAAAATGAGGAAAGAGGAAGGGAGAAGAAACTATAAAATACATTTTGGGGACAACTGAAGAAATTTAATGTTAACTGAAAATTATGTGACATATAGGAATTATTATTAATTTTTTAGGTAAGATAATAGTATTATTTCTAAAAGACAGTATCTTTACACTATGGAGATGCATGCTGATATATTTCAGGGTAAAGTGTTAGGAATACAAAACTTACTTTGAAATGGAAAAAAGATGAAGCAAATATGGAAAAAGGCCAATCTTCGCCTGACCGATTTGGCTCAGCAGGTTAGAGCAACAGCCTGTGGACCAAAGGTCTGTGTGTGGGTTCAATTCCCGATCAAAGGCACATACCTAGGTTGCAGGTTCGATCCCCGACCCCAACCAAGGCCGTGCAGGAGGCAACCAGTCGATGTGTTTCTCTCATATCCATGTTTCTCTCTTTCTCTCCCTTCCACTCTTTCTAAAAATAAAATCAATAGAAAAAGATCCTCACCTGAGGATTCACAAAAAAAAAAAAAAAAAAAAAAAGAGAGAGAGAGAAAGAAAGGAAAAAAGAAAAGAAAAAGGCCAATTATTGAATTTAGGTGGTAGAGATAAGAACATCCTTTGTCCCATTTCTTCAGTATTGTTTAAAACTTTTCAAAATGACGATGTGAAGAAACAAAGCAAAACTCTGCCTATCTTCTGATTGAAACATTACCTCTCTCTGCCTTCTTTGACGTCTGGATAAGAAAGAAGGCTTCTCTTCCTCCCCCGGGACTTGCACTTTCTTTCTCCTGCGGAGCTGGGCTCTTTGGGGCAAAGACGCTGGCTTATGGGTTTCTCTTTGGTTCCCCGTCCCACCACAGTGCCAGGCACACACCAAGGCTCAACAGCAAACATGCCAGGCAGTGAAAGTCCTCAGTAGTCTTAACTCCCCCAGTGACTGATTTGATGAGGTGGCTATTAGCATCCCATTTTGCAGATGGGGAAGCTGAGGCTCAAACAGGTTTAGTCACTTGCCCAAGGAGATACCGCTCATAGGTGGTGGAGTTATGTTTGGCTCCAGGTCTGGCTGACCCGAAAGCCTGGTTGTGTCTGAACTGAATCTAAACAGTTAGTCTCTCACACCCTGATGAGGTAGGTGAAGTGACCACTCAGATTTTATGAGAAGAAAAACTGGGTCAGAAGAGGGCAGGGGACATGCTCAAGGGCTGAGTAAAGAAAAGCATGCCATTCTCTGTGTTTTTGTTGTTGCTGTCGTTGTTAATCCTCACCTGAGGATATTTTCCCATTGATTTTAGGCAGAGTGGAAGGGAAAGAGGGAGAGAGAGAGAAATATCATGGTGAGAGAGACACATCGATTGGTTGACTCCTGCACAACCCAGATCAGGGCCACAGTTTGAACTGCAACCCAGATATGTGCCCTTGACTGGGAATCGAACCCACAACCCTTTGGCCCATGGGCTGACACTCTTAACTGCTGAGCCACGCGGGCCAGGGCCATGAGGAGAAGCCTTCTTTCTTATCCAGGCCATTCTCTGCGTTTTGATACCTGTGTTGTGCCAGGCTCTGAACTAGCACCTTAGGGGCATAAACTCACTTAATCCTCACAGCAGCCCTCTTAGTGGGCGTGGAGGAAGGTAGGATAGCCTGGTGGTCATGAGCTCAGACCCCAGAGTCAACTGACTGGGGAAAATCCAGGCTCCCTTGTTTCTTGGCTAGTGACCCTCAGAAAATTCCTTAACTTCTGCCTGCCTCAGTTTTTCCATCCATAAAATGGACCACGACAGTGGTATTTGGCTTCCACCCTGGTGTGTCGTCATGACTATGTGATTTAATCATGCAAAGCACTTAAAACAGTGGACATTGACCCATGCTGGGGTGCTCCTCCCTGCCAACCAACATCCAGCCTCTGAGATCCACACCCCAGGCAGCTTCACTGTGCCTGGGTGAGAGAGGTCCTCTGGCCTTGGGGGCTGTGAGCCTTCTGCTCAGCCCGCCTAGACCAGCTGGCTCTGTGGTGGGGACAGTGGCTCATAGACAAACTGGTTTCCCTGTGGCTGGCTGCCCAGAGATGACTGGGTGGAGCAGGTTCCTGGTTACCACCTGGCCCCGTGCCGGGCCACTGCCTTGGGGAAGCTGCTGAGGGCAGGGAGGCCCGGGGCTCCTTTCTGTGTCCTGGGCTGCCCACGCCCCCGCACATGCCTAGTCCTCTTCCTTATGGCCCTTTCCACCCGGATGCTCTCCTTGACCTGAGGTGATGCTGTTCCCTTTCTGGGCCTCAGTTTCCCCATCTGTCCCTATGACATTGGGCTGGATCATTTTTTTCGCAAACATTTACTGTACCAAGCCCCTGTTTACCAGGCTCCAGGCTAGGCTCTGGAGATGTATTAATGAACAAGGTCCCCCAGGAGATGGGGCTTTAAGGGGTAAAGGTTGATGTAGGAGAAATACCCACCAAGACCAGATGAGAGCTTGTCAGACCCAGACAGGGCCCTGGGTCCCCCCACGAAGCCAGCATTCTCTATTCCTCGGCCCCTCTGTCCTTTGTTTATTGCCCACAGAGGAGCTAGGGCCCCAGACCACAGCGAAGGGCATGTGCCAGGAGGGAGCTGACCAAGCCGAAGGGCAGAGAGGAGGCCCTTTGAACCCTAGCAGTCCTGGTCCAGCCGCCCGGCAGGTTCCGGTTTGAGAGCCATTGTATCCTGAGCGGGGACCTCACTTCGAGGAGCTGGCTGAGCCTTCGTTCCTTGGCAACATCCTGAGGAATCTGGCTCCTTGCCTTTGCCCTCCCACCGCCTGCCTGCAGGGGGGCCGGGAGGCGGAGGCTGGGGGAGCCTCATTATAAACATCAGCTCAGTGGGCTGCGAGCGGCTCCGCAGCCTGGCCGCCTGGCGTCACCTTGCCTGGAACCCGCCGTCAGCATGGCTGCTCACCCGCTCTCCTGGCTGCTCCGCGTCGCCGCCCTCTGCCATCTAACCGCGCTGCTGGCCGGTGAGTGGGGCGGACATGGCCTGAGCAGGGTGGGGAAGCCCCCAAGCCCACTTCTGCCCCGCAGGCAGACCCTTCCTGGGTAAGGCTAAGGTCCGTGGCAGCCCCCTCCTGAGCCATATGCCACCGGGATTCGGAGGCTGCCCCTCCCAAGGGAAAGATTTGGCTCAGTGAGCAAGGTGGCTACTGCATGGAGTGCAGGAAGGTGGTTTGGGAGACACGAGGGTGCCAGGTGGGGTGTCAGGAGGCGATGGGGGGGCTGAGAGCAGCTGGATGTCGTTTCTGCTGGGTAGGAGCATTGGTGGGACTCAGGGTTAATATGTAACCCAAAGTCCTGACTCCTGAGTCAGCCTGGGGCCAAACTAGGCCACAGTTGGTTGGGGCTTTCTCCTGCCGTGATTTCAAAGCCATCCCAGGAGTAGGGACCCCAGGACCAATGGAGGTCAAGGTCATTGCCGCTCACAGAGTGGGTTCATCACTGTTGCTCTGGTCTGTGGCCCCAACCTCCCTACCCGTCTCCCCCATGGTACTGTCTTCCTTCTCCAAGCAGAGCTTAGAAAATGTTTGTACCAGTCACTTGCTTTCTGGAGCCTGGGACCGGGTAGGGCATGATATATCCATCCCACCTGCCATGAGTTAGATGGACACCCAAGGCTTTCAGAAACTGGCCTGAGGACGCAGAGACTGCAGGTAGGGCAGAAGGTGGGCGGATGCAAGACGGAGCACGGCCTCTGAGAACCCCTGTTCTCAGGGAGGGTCCAGGCCATCCCTCCCGCAGGTTGAAATACAGTGGGTCTGGGAGAATGAGAAACAGTCTTCAGCTTCCAGATACCTCCATGGAGCAAGCTCCCCCGCCCGAGTCCTTCTGTGTGGGGAAAACCCACCACTGGGCAGGGAGGAGGTGGGTGAGGCCAAGTGCTGCTGGCTTTCTGCTTCCTGCTTCCTGGGCTTGAAACCTGAGGCCTGAAGTGTGGGGAGATGAGCACTGGGAGAGGAGGGTCACATGGAGGTGCTTTGTGAGGACCCGGAATGGGGTCTTGCCTTCTTTGGTCTCAGCTACTGCGCATTTAGATAGAGGTCTTGCCTTCTGTGTCGTGAGCCTCCAATGCCTAGGAGGGCATTTTGGAAGTGGGAGGAGGAGGAAATTATTTATACTGAGCCAGGGGTGGCAGGGGGGGATCCTAGGCTAGGTTGGAGAGTGGATTCTGGGGAGACCTTGGATGTTCTGTCTAGCAGCCTAAGGCTTCAGGACCATCAGATTCTTGTCCTAATCTTGGTCACTGACTTTGATGGGAGATACTTGCATTATTTCAACCTTTCTGAGCCTCTGTTTCTCCTCCTGTGAAAATGGGCATTTAGGCAGGCCCACCTTAGAAATCCTTACCCAGGATGACATTTGTGGCTCTGAGCGGCCCCCTGGGAGCCCCTGCAGGTCTAGGGGGTGGTCCACAGGCCAGAGAGGCCCCAAGGGAGGCTGGGGGCTTCCTGGCTGCTGCTCTGCTGGTGCAAGGCAGCTGCATCAGTTCCAGATGTGGGTTTCGTGGGGCTGTGTCAGGCAGGAGGCTTCTCCGTTTTATATAACAAACCTGCAGATACAAGTCAGAGAGAGATTTTCTCCCCAGGCACTGACGCATTCACTCCCACTCCAGCCCCAGCAAGAAAGAAAAAAAAATCTGCTTTAAGCTGCTGTAGTCTGCCCCTGCTTAGTATGGGGGTGGATGGGGAAGGCAGGGAAGGATACATTCAGGGTGTCAGATCCAGGCCCCCACAGAATTTAAATAAAAATGCCTCTATTTCTCTCTTGGTAAGGTTTTCTACGTCACAAAATGCTTCTGTGTGCGTTTTGTTGATTCATTCAACAAATACTTGTTGGACACTGACTGTGTGCCAGGCACTGTTCCTGGTGCTGAGACCGGATCAATGAATAATAAAACTGCCCAAGATCCCAGCCCTCCAGGTGTGAACATAGATTGGTGAAGACAAACAACACACAAAATAAATCAGTAAACAATTTGATCTGTTAAAAGAAAAACGGTCTGATTTTAAAAGGGGGAGTGGGGAGGTGTTGAAATTTTAAGTAAGGGGTCAGGGAAACCTCCCAGAGAGGGGCCACGGAGGAGGCCAGGGAGGGGCCATGTGGATATCTACAGGACAGTGGTTCTCAATGGAGGCTTTGCCCTCCAGGGAGTATTTGGCAATTTCTGGAGATATTTTTGTTTGTTACAAATGTCCCACCATTTTTGGATGGGGGGTGCTCAGCATCTAGAGGGTAGAAGCCAGGGATGCTGCCAAACGTCCTACAGTGCACAGGATAGCCCCCCGACAAAGAACTAGCTGGCCCCAAATATCAGGGGTGTTTGCTTTGAGGAAACCTGCTCTAAGGGTTCAGATATTGGAAAAGCTTTGTTCTCACAACCACCCTGTGAAGCAGGTATGATGGTGCCCATTTCACAGGTAAGGATTCAAGGCTCTGTAAGCCTGAGTGACTCATCCAGGACACGCATTGGCTCAAGCCCTCTCTCTATCACTTCACTCAGAGACCCAGAACATTCCTGTCTCTTCCTGTCTGTAAGCCTCTTAGTAGTCCTTACGGACCAGCCTTAGAGACACACCCTCCAGGAAGCCTCCTTGATCACTTGCAGCAGGAAGTGGTCTCTCTCTCATGTAAATCCCAGTATAGTTGCAATATATTTTGGAACATGGTGTTTCTACCTGGCGTTTAAAGTAGCCTGAAAAAGTGGGGTGCCTAGGGCCTGGGAGGACAACTAGATCTGCCTAAGCAGTTGTGTAGCCTTGGACATGTCATTTAACCTCTCTGATTCTCAGCTTCTGCATCTGTAAAATGGGGATAACAATACTCCCTTTGCAGGGATATTGAGAATTAATGACAGCAGATGTATGTGTGCTGAGCACAGACTCTAACACATAGTAGGTGTTCAAATAAGGAATGCTCTGATACTTTGTGGGTGTGTTTTAGCTGTCCTTCAGGCTGGTAGCCTTCTGAAGGCAGAGACAGGCCTTGTTCTTTGTGCTATTCCCTGCAAGATGGAAAGTTAGCATTTGTTGTTTGACTGAGTAAACACATTGACCTCATAGCATTTATTGGGATTGAGGTTATCTCTCCAAGCTCAGCACCAGCACCTGTGGGAGAAAGAGTTCAGGGTTAAGGACAAGAGGACCTGGATCTTTGTAGATATTCAAAAGTAATTCCAACAAGTGTTGGCTGAATCAGGACATGGATGGATGGATGGATGGATGGATGGATGGATGGATGGATGGATGGATAATTAGATGGATGGATGGTTGGATGGATGGATAATTGGATGGATGGATGGATGGACAGACGGATGAAGGATAGGTGAGCAGGCTGGTGAGGGATGGATAGGTGGATAAATGAGAATAGTTGGAGGATGAGTTGCAGAGGGACAGGTGGTAGGTGGGCGAGTGGGGGATGAGTAAATGGATGGATGGGAATGAGTAGGAATGGGTGGGAGGTAGACATGTGGGTGGATGTGGAATGGGTGGAGGATTGACAGGAGGGGGGAAGATAAACGGATGGATGGATGGATGGATGGATGAACGGATGGATAGGTGGGTGGAGGGATAAGTAGACAGACATTATTTCATTTAGTGAACATTTATTGAGTATCCACTTTGTGCTGGAAAACATTATGACACCAAGACAGACAAGTCCTGGCCCTCCTGAAACTCACGTGAGAAATAATAAGTGACTGGCTGGATGGGGGCACTATTTCCATCTACAGGAAAGAAAATTTCAGTTGCAAGAAGAAAATATCCCCAGGTTAGTTATACAACCTTCCCTGGGCAGTACTGGGCCTGGCCACGGGCATTCAAGCACTGTGGTAGAGGGTGGGGCCTTTGGGGACAGGCTGACTTTGTGGCTCCTTAAAGCCCCAGAGGCAGGCAGTGGCCTTCCTCATCCTGGAAAGTTGAGTCCAGAGGGCAAACTGACCTTACCTGGCTTATCCTTCCCGCCCACAGCTGCCCGCTGTCTCCAGGTCACCAGGGGCACCTTTTCTCTGGGGCTTTTTCCAGGAAGACACCTGCCAGACCAGTCCAGGGAGCTGTCTCCTGGCTCTACTCAACAGAAATTGGGGAGGCTGCAGCTGAATGATTCCAAGGTCCTACTTAGGGAGAAGGAGGCAGACAAGGCACAAGGGGACTTTCCTAAGAGAGAAAGGCAGCCCGTGACTCAGGGAGCAGCTGCTGGGAGCTTCCCTCCGCCCCCACCCCAGTGAATGTTCGCATGTCCACATGCAAGAAATCTGTGCATGACATGTGTGTTTTGGTGGAGCCCAGGAACCGGCTGGGCCTCTAAGGCCCTGCAGAGCTAGATAAGGTCAGTGTGCTCTCTTCACTCCACTTTTGTGGAAGTCCTGGCCTCTGGATTTTTGCAAAACCTTCCAGAGTCTTGCTTCTGCTGCATATAATCTTGACCCAGAACTGAAACTCCGTCTCTTCCTCATTTTTTACATACCCCTGCCCAGCTTACACCAAGCAGAGGAAATTTTACTGAGGATTTGAGGGGAAGGGTAGGAGGGAATACAGTGCAAACCACTTCAAATGTTTTAGATAAAAAGATTTGTTCAAGTGCCTGTTCAGTCACCCTCATTTTGCCATGGGTTTCTCTCTGACTCCATATGGTAGCCAGCCATCTGCAGACCCCTGTCCTCCACTCTGTTCCCACCCCATGGACCTCCTTCCTCTGGCTCCCCAGCTTGTCCTGGGATCTTCAAACAGCTGATCCAAAGAGTTTCTCTTAGCAACTTTGCCCAAACTCAGCCTGGCTCTTAATGACAGAACAAGAATGGTCTACTCAGCAGACCCCCCACATACTGTTCCATTTACTTACACAATTAAACATTATTTGTTCTATTATCTGCTACATGTGCCTGGTTGTATGTATGCCTTTGTGTATTTGTGTGTGCATGTGTGTGTTTATGCCATGTGTGTGGTGTGTGCATGTATGTACCTGTCATAGGTGGCACACGAGATGTGGATGGCAAAAGATGAGGGTGTGCCTCCGAAGTTGTGGAAACCCATGAATATGGACAGCTTGAGACGGAGGGATGGGGTGTGTGTGTGGAGGGGTGATAGCTGAGCAGGTGACTTACTGGAGTAAAGGCAGCAGGAGCGGGGGATGGGCAGCACACAGGATCAGAAGCATGATGGGAGCTAGGCCTGGTAGGAGAGCCTTGTTGGCTGTGTGAACGCAGGCAGATCCCTGACGCTCTCAGATTTGTTTCTTCTATTTACAACAGACCAACTATAGCAACTTAATACTTAAAATTAAACACGTCCTACGTGCCAAGCAATAAGAGCTTTATAAGTATTTACCTCACAACCCTGTGAGGTAAATACTATCATTGTTCCTATTTTACAGGTGGGGAAACTGGGTGTGGTTTTTTTTGGCCTGGGATGGGATGGGTGGGGTCTAGCGCCTTGAAAGCCAGGTGTGCGGGGCATTGGTTCTTGGGTGGTATGGCTGGGACAAACTGTCATGGGGCTGGGAGGCCAGATGCTCCTGTCCAGTCCTGCTGACCGGGGGCCTCTGTGGGCTCAGGACAGCACCATGGTGTGAACAAATGCAGCATCATATGCAACCAAATGACCTCGGAGATCTCCGTGAAAGTTCTAATGAGCTATCAACGAAATCAAGCATCTTGCCGCAAACCCGCCATCATGTAGGTACTGCCCTCTCCACCTCTGCATCCCTGTCAGGCCCTTGGGATAGTCCTAGACCTCTGCCAGTGCATGTCCACATCCCCCCCACCCCCACCCAGACTCCTGGCCCAGAGCCTCAGCAAACGCTCTCCTGCTTCTGGCCTGCTGGCCCCTTGTTGACCTTAATATATACGTGGAATGTAAGTTGGGGAGCAGCTTCTTGCATGGCCTGTGGCCAGGAGCAGCCACAGAGGAGAGTCATTCCTTCTGGGCCAAAGAGTGTTCCCTGCACCTCTGGAGCTGCTGGATTTCATGGGGGGGGGGGGGGGGCGGTAAAGCATGGTGGTCTCAAAGTGCAGGCTCCAAAATGCAACAGATGTGGTGCAAATCCTGGCGTTGCCACTTAGACGTGTGGCCCTGGTCACATTGCCTGTCTCTAAAATGGGTAGTTAAGAGGATGAAAGGAGACAATTTAACTAGAATGCTTGGCAGGGTGCCGAGATGATAAGCAAGGTCGAGACTGGCATCTTCATTTGACAGACAAGGAAACAGGATCTCTATGAGACTGAGCAGGGGCCCAGCCAAGCCAGCTCCCCCATGGCTGTGGCGGCCCCTGGTCATCTTGGCTACTTGCTCCTCTGGGGTCCCTCTTGTGTACTGCCCAATCACCCAGCCTGGAGGCCTTTTTCCAGAACTGACCTTTGGACCCTAAAGCTGCTCAGCCAGCCAGAGTCCTGGCAGCAAGAAGTGCCAGTGGGCCTTTGAGGTGCAGGCTTAGCCAAAGGAAATCATGCACTTCCTGTCAACTCCCCATCAACTACAGTAGCTGCAAGAGGAGCAAGTGTGTTTCTGCCCGCCAGGGAGGGGATCTGAGCCAGGGGCCGCATTGGCACCTGTGGGGCCTACAGGATCGCGTGTGCTCCCTGGACTGCTGTGGCTTCCAGCATCCTGGAGCCGGGAGCATTCATGTTACCTCTGTAAGCCTTGATTTCCTCATCTGCAAAATGGGGATGAGCACAGTAACACCTTGCAGGAGGCGTGAGAGCACGAAATAGGCAAAATGCCTGGCACAGGCCATGGCATGGAGCAAGGGCCCCGGTCAGCTCTGAGCTGTGGTTTTGGCTGCGGGCCAACCACACACAGCTTCAGAGGAAGCTCAAGATTTGGGTGGCACTCGGGGTCCCAATGAGGCCACCATGTGCATGACTGTAGCTCACGAGGTGTCCTTTCAACCCAAGGACACACACTACGAGAGAAGGTAGAGGTCCAGAGGGCAGCCCATAACAGAGAGGGGAGACAACACTGTGACATGAGTCTTTTCCAGAGTGAGGAGGTCCCCCCAGGGAGCTTGCCAGTCACACCCCTGGCAGCAGAGAACACCTGTGACCTCCCCTCCCAATCAAGACTCACAGCCCAACATTGTACAACTTAAACTTACATAATGTTTTATATTCAGTTACAGCTCAATAAAGCTGAGAAAACAAATAAATAAATGAATGAATGAATAAATAAATAAATAGGGGATAAGAAAAGACTCAGAGCCCAGAGCCTCTGCCTTAATGGCAACAACAATATTAGGAAAATTGTTATTATTTTCAGCTATTTCTGCTCTCCTGTTCTGAGCCAGGTGCTTTACATAATTTTCATGTTTTACAATAACACAGAAGCAGAGTGACCAACTTGTCTCGGTTTGCCCAGACTTTTACAAAAAGGCCTGCATCTCAAGAATCCCCAGTAGTTCTGGGTCGGTCAGTCACCCTACAGTAAGACACCCTAGGTACCTTTTTAAAAAAATTTTTTTATTCCTCACCTGAGGATATTTTTCTACTTATTATCAGATAAAGTGGGAGGGAGGGAGAGAGAGAGGCAGAGAGAAACATCGATGTGATAGAGCCACATCGACTGGGATGAACCAAAACCGAGGCACATGCCCTTGACTGGAATCGAACCTGCGACTCATTGGTCCGTGGACCGACGTTCTAACCACTTAGCAACCGACCAGGGCGAAAGTAGGTGTCTTATCTCCACTTCTCAGGCAAGGACAGAAGTCCCAGAGGCTGAGTTACCCTAGCTAACCTCACAGCTAGTAAGTGGGGAGGCCAGGATTTCCACCTGCATCTGTTCACCTGCTGAGCATCGGCATGGTAACCCTACTCCGTGTCATCTGGGCATCACTGGGTCCCTATCTTCCTTCCTTGTAGCTTGAAGACCATCAAGAACAGAACCTTCTGTGCTGACCCAGAGGCGAAGTGGGTCCAGGAAGCCATGGAGTACCTGGACCGCAAGGCCATGCCCAGGGGTAGCACATTTGAGAAGCAGATCGGCGCCACTACTGCCCGGACGACCTGGGGCACGGACAGCGCTGCGGTCCCAGAGCTCAGCGCTGCAGGGGAGAGCAGTAGCTGGGAGGCACCGGGGGCCTTGGGGACTTCCCTGGAGCTGCCTACAGAAGTGACTGGTTCCTGGGGGACCAGGTCCCCCACTGCTTCAAAGACTCCAAATGGAGGGCCTTCCGCTGGGCCCGAGGAAACTGAGCTTTTCAGTACTGCTGCTGCCACCACGGCCACATCCTGGCAGAGTTCTGCTCACCAGCTTGGGTTGGACCTCCCGGCTGAGGGAAAGGCTTCTGAAGCCCCCTCCACCCCACCCCCCTCCACCCAGACCACCTCCACCCAGGCCCCCTCCACCCAGACCCTCCCCACCCAGAACCTCTCCACCCAGGCCCCCTCCACCCCACCCCCCTCCACCCAGGCCCCCTCCACCCAGACCCCCTCCACCCAGACCACCTCCACCCAGGCCCCCTCCACCCAGGCCCCCTCCACCCAGACCCCCTCCACCCACCAGATCCTCCCCACCCAGGCCCCCTCCACTCAGGCCCCCATCTCTTTACACACAGCCCCAGAAGGCAGCATTGGGCCTGAAGGGCAACCTGTGTGGACCCACAGACAGGATCCCATGCTGGACAACCCTCTAGGGTTCAGGGAGCAGGGTCCCATTTCGGCTCACACGGATGCTTTCATGGGGCCTGGCAGCATGCCTCAAGTCTCCGTGGTCCCTGTTTCCTCTGAAGGGGCCCCCAGCAGGGAGCCAGTGGCCTCAGGCAGTTGGGCCCCCAAGGCCGAAGACCCCCAGAGGCTGGACACCCTCATCACTCCTATCCCCGACTCCCAGGTGGCCACCCGGAGGCAGGCGGTGGGGCTGTTGGCCTTTCTGGGCCTCCTCTTCTGCCTGGGGGTGGCCATGTTCGCCTATCAGAGCCTACAGGGCTGTCCCCGAAACATGGCGGGGGAAATGGTGGAAGGGCTTCGCTATGTGCCCCGAAGCTGTGGCAGTAACTCGTATGTCCTCGTGCCAGTGTGAGCTGCCCTCCTGCCTGTGTCCAGAGGTCCCACTCAAACAACTGCCCAGGGTCCCCCATCCTCACTCCTACTCTCACCCAAGGGCTTGACCCGAGCTGGGATGATCAAAGCAGGGAGGCAGGATCCTCCAGGTACGACTGTCCCCAGTTCCTGGGCAGATCTCGGGAGACCCCCTTACCATCTTTGACCAACTGAGACAGAGTGGGTAGCCTCTGCAATCTATGCCAATGCCCCCAAGTCAGAAACTCTCCTCTGCTGCTGGCTGGTAAGAGGTTCCCTTTAACACCATCCCGGCCCCAGTGAACAATTATTTATTGACTGCTCAGTCCCCCTGGCCATGACTCCATGTAGGTACCACTGTCCACCCACCTCACAAATGAGCCTCAGGCCAGGCCCTTCTGCCCACTCCCTCCAACCTCATTGTGTCTTGGTCCCTCTGCAGTTGCCTGTCACCCTGGCCACCTGCGGTGCTACCACCACCCCTACGCCCAGTCCCTGTCCCCTGTACAGATCGCACGCCCTAGCCAGGACCTGTCTTTTCTTGCATGAGGCAGATGTGGTGTTTGCTGGTACTGCTCTCAGCGAAGGCTCTGCCCTCGGGCGCCTTGGGAACGGGTGGTGGAGTCACCCAGTGGGTTTGATGTGTTCCCTCCTCCCCTGTGCTGTGCAGTGAAGGAACATTGACTCTGAGTTGTGAAGCCTGGGGCGCTAGTCCCAGCTCCACCGTCACCCTGACAAGGCATCCATCCCTCTGGCTTCCCATCTGTGAAAAGAAAGAAGGACAGCAAATACGTGGCAATAGCCTGTACCATTTTCCCCAGACCCTGGGTACAGAGAGCACCTTAGCCAGATTCTACCAACCAACGAGGCTGGCACATCTGTGGGCCCTGTGGCCAGGAGGCCCTGATAGCCCAGTCCTGCCCTGTTGGAGGGTCAGCACCGTGGGCCCCCAGGATAGAGGCTGGTCTGGGATACTTTTGGAGCAGAGACCAATTTAAGAATTCTCTGTATCCACTAGACACTGAGACAGCCCGGGTGACATGTGACAGGCTGAAGGAGGGGGGGAGGCCTTCCGGCTTGGGGAAGGATCCAGGGAGAAGCTGTGGGGGGCAGTCACACTCCGTGTTAGGGACTTGGGTCCAGCAACTGTTCTTCCTACCTGCAGCCTGGGTTCTCCACCCACCTCTGGCTCCCAGGAAACACTGTTCTCTGCACACTATCTTCTCCCCTCACCTTTGCCCCCATGGCAGGCAGGGCCAGGAGTGCCCTTGAGCTCAGAACCACTGCTGACATCCAAGGTTCCGTGCTTACTTCTGGAAGGAGCTCTGCCCTGTGGGGAGGGACCTGTGGGGGAAGGGAAGTTGTGGGCATAAGTCAAGGGATTCCTTTTGGCTGCTGAAGACTCAGGCAGGCTTAGGTGAGGCTGAAGGCTGACTGGTGGGCCAGCACCCCCCAGTCAGAGCTGGGCCTGTAGGCCTCACCCCTCAGGGTCCCTGGTGGCAGTTCCCCACCTCCCTCTGATTGTCCCCAAAGGTGACCTTTGCCCTCCACCTGGGAAACCTCCATGGGCTGGGCTCTCTCCAGGTACAGGTGACATACTCCTTTACAGATGGATGCTGGAGGTCTACAGAAAGAGGACTGGGCCCTCCTATACCCCCTGCTGGGCATGATACCCCCTGCTTGGGCCTGGCTTGAGTTGGGGGGCATTTTGAGGGGGACAAACAGGTCTGAATACACTTTTTTTGGCTCTTCCCGGCTGGGAGCCTTCAAGGCGTGGGGCACCCGTGATGGGGCTCCCCTCCTCTGTCAGAAAGCAGCTGGGGCAGCTGGTCCCCTCTCCAGGGACTTGGACAAAACAGTTCGGGGAGGACTTTAGAAGAAGGTTGATCCTTTTGCTTTTCCAACCCTATCACCAATGTCTGTGCCATTTTGTATTTTACTAATAAAATTAAAAAGTCTTGTGAAACAAATAAAGGTGACTTTTCTAAGGGGTGGAGGACTTCGAGCCTCAGGGGGGAGGCAACAAGACTCCCCGAGTCGGCCCTGGAAGCCCCTGTCTCCAGTCCCCAGGGGACAGAGTGGCAGGTCCTTTTACAGTCAGCAGGGGCAGGGGCCCTGGGGATGGGTGAGGAGGGTTGAGCCCCTGGCCTGGCTCTGCTCTGCCCAGCCCTGTGATGTTGGGCAGTGCCTTCACCTGCCTGCACCTGTGAGGCCTCTTCTGGTGGATTCCATCCCTGGTAGGTATCAGAATTCCTTCGGAAGCAACCCCCTGCCACCCTGCCACATGTCTACTGATCCATCAGCTTGATGACCTGGTGACTCATGGGAGCAAACAAGTCCACATTTTCCTCTTTGTTGTCTTGACTCATTTCTGGTCCAGATAAGATTGAAGAGAGATTGCTTCTCAAGGGTCTTGGCTATTCATAGACATGACCCAAGTACAACATCCTGATGGCCCCCAAGCCCTTCGGTGTCCTGGCATAAGAGCTGCTGGGAGCTGCTGAGCGGGTGGGAACCGCGCCCGGCGCCGCGTCGACAGCCTGTTGCTACAGCCCTTCCTGGGTTCTAGGAGCGCGGTTCTGCACCGCGTGGCCTCTGCGAATACGTTCGTCTTACAACCAACGGCTTGTAGTAGTTTAATGAACAGCTCTCTCTTTCTTTATTAGTTCATTCAATATCAGAATGTCTTACAATTAATGGTATCTTAGATCCCTTGTCTACATGATGTTTTGTTTGTTTTTTAAATTAGAGGCAACATGTAAAAATCAAGAAATTACATACATAAACCTACTTTTCTACAGTGGGCAGAGCCTGAAGAGCAGCTGCCCCCAGAGATGGGGCCAGCCAGTATGAGACCCCAGGTCTCTACCATCCCCCCCACCCCAAGACATTCCCACCTGCTCTTGCATACTCCTGCCTCCAGGAAGGAGGTCTGCCCGGGCAGGGTTCCAGCCCCTGCCACCTCCCCAACACCACCCTTCCAGCAACATAAAACACAGACAGGCTTTACAATGAAAAGATTTGACCCTTAATACATTCTTAAGGTTAAAAATTCTCCTGCTCAGGAAGCGGATGGAGGGGGAGCCGCCTTCTGGCTCAGTCCAAGGTAGTTCGCCAGGGAGCCTGGGGTGCGTGTGTTTTATTTGCTCTTTCAGTTGCAGAGCTAAACTTCAGCTGACGTGATTTCCACAATTGATGCAGAGATTGATGGAGACTTGGGGACCTCTGAAATCTTTGCTAGGACTATCGGGGCTCTGAGATGATGATGATGATGATGATGATGATGATGATAGCCATTGTTTGTTTTCTGTTTACCATGTGCCAGGCAATGTGCTAAGTTCTTTATGTACAAGGGTCCCCATCTTACCGAAGATTACAGTAAAGCTCTCAAAGGTTATGAGACTTGCCCAAAGGTCACACAGCCTGTCAGCAGTCAAGCTGGGATATTGATATCATTGCAATTAGCTAGTTATTAGTAATAGGAAAGGAGCAAAGGGAAGGCCAGACATCATAGGCATGTTCCCTGAAAACACTGGGGGAAGGAGACTGGACTAGGGGAAGGTAGGTGCCCAGTAAAGTTGAGATGACATAGGGAAGGTGCTTGCTGACAGTCACACCCGGGAACAGAGGTCATTGGCCAGTGTGGGCGTGGCCACTGCAAGCACTGGAAGACTTGGGATACTTAGTTCCTTAAACAAAGAAGTCCACTCTCTTGCACTCTTGGTGTTCTTGGGACTCGTGTGACTCTGGGCTTGGGGGCTCCTTGGCTCCTGCTTCCCTGCATTCACCCACATGGCCCACAGCCATGCGGACTGCACACACCATGGACTAGCCTGACGCTGGACTGGACCCCACTGCAGCATGGAAAGGAAACTCCGAACACTGGCTTTGCTTCTAGCTTTCCTGAAACCCCAGCTACACTTCTTTTACGACTGCACCGAGGAAATGGGACCTTGGAAACCCAGGGGTGTAATTCCACAGAAATAAAATTTTCTACCATATCTCATCCCCCATGGGGACCTGTAGGAATGTTCATTCCAGAGGTATTCCAGGGACCCCACTCCCACTAGCAAAGGGGGGAAATGAGGCACGTTTTTCTCCAAAACCAATATGATCCAAAGTCTTTCTCCAGAACTGCAATCTTAACTACTGTTTCTGAAAGTGTGAGCCACAGATTCTTAAAAGCACAGATCCCCGAGTCTCATTTCAGACCTACTGAATTCAGACTCCAGCACTGGGAGGGCTGGGAATCTGCACTTTCAAGTCATTGCCCCCCTCCCCCCCTTCCCTCTCCTCTCTCCCTGCCTCCACCCTGCACTGCCTTTTGAATTAGGGGATTTGGTGCCTAGCCAAAGTTTTAGTGCCCCCTGCACCAGGTCACCCCGCTCCCACCTGCCCGAGGCTTGCAGGGTCCTTTGAGCAGTAGCTATCTGCAGCCTTCTCCCTCTGCCCTTTGCCATCAGTCCCCCTGTGTTCTCTGTACATTCCCCAGAAAGGGTGAGGCCAGGAAGACAAACAAAAAAATGAATGACTGGGAATTCCCAGCAGGAGGCTGAATAATAGGCGCCAGGAGCCACAATGTGTGCATGTGTGTGCGCGCGCACACATGCCCTGTTGTTCCTGGGTGTGCAAAAACAAGTGTCCAGTTTGCTTCTGCTCAGTCACGTGCTTTCTTGGATAATGTTTCAGCTGCTGGGATTTAAGAAAAGATCTGGTGCCAGGTTGGCTTTCCTGAGCTGACCACGAACTTCAGCAGCCAGACCCATGTGGGATCGTCTTGCTCTGACCGTTCTGGGCGTGGCGATGCCTCTCCCAGGAGAACTCCGGAGCAGTGCATGTTTGGGAAGAGAGGCCCCTCTCCTACCTTCAAGGAATCTGTTCTCCCCAGAGGACAGACTAGAATTATTTGTAGCAAGCATCTTGCTTTTTATTTTATTTTTTAAGTTTTTAAAAAATTAATTAATTTATTTTTGTTACAGATGTTTCTCCTCCCCCCCCCCCACTAATTCCCCCCTTCTCCTCCCTCCCTGCCCTGTCCCCAAGCATCTTGCTTTTTAGCAAACAGGAGCAGAATATAACATGGGCTCTCTGGCCCTGTGACTCTGGGCAAGTCGCTTAACCTCTCTGGGCCTCAGTATTCTCCTCTGTGAAGTGGTAATAATAACCACTGACCTCGTGGGTGAGGATTTCATGAGATAATCCTTGCTGAACACTTAGAAAAATGGCATCCATAGTGAGCTCTGGGTAAATAGGGCCTATGATTATGCAATAGAAGTTTCCAGAGGGTTTGAAACATCCTTTTTTCATTGGCTTTTGTTATTGGATACCCAAACAAAACTATAAAATTATAAGATTTCTATAAAGAAATGCAGGTATCTTAGTTTACAGTAAAGTCAGATGAAAAAAATAATAGTGTATTTAATCAGGTAAGAATAATTTGTATATTTCCCCCCCTAAGGTAGTAGATGCTGTTCAAGTTGATGTTAACTTTTCTCTTCTAAATTGCTTTTGAACTTGGCAAGGTCAAAACTCATCAATCCCAATTAATTGAAACCAGACTAGCAAGATGTCTGAGTCTTCGACTTGGAGAGAAAGGGAAGTTTATTCGTTTTCAAGTCCTTGGAGACTGCAGTGGTCAGGCTCCCTGGGAATTTCTGGCTTGCTGTCCTCTGGGCACATAGGAAGGGTGTTCCTGCTCCCTTGGGATAGTTGGGGACCTAGTGACCAGTTCTGGCCAGTGGGCTGGGAATGGAAGTGACATGTATCGCAAGATTCAAACATTTAATTGCTGATGAGAAAACTTTTAGTCTCTCTGGCCAGCCCATGGCCACATACCAGAAAATGATGGCACCGTTACCTTGAGTCCCAGAGTAAATATGACTCAGGGCTTCCAACCGTGAAAAGAGCCCCCCCTAATCTCTATGGCAGCCACCATTGTAGTTTAGCCACTGAGAGCCTGAGGTTAGCTGTTACTGCAGCATGACCTCACCTGTCTTGACTGATAGAGCAATCGGGAAGAAAAAGTATGCTGTTTCTCGCACTCGGTGGGAATGACTTGTCAGAACCTGCATGATGCTGTTAAAAGGCCTGGAAACATTCCTTAACTGAGATAAATCTCTCTTCATTTGCTCTCTTTGCAGACAGAATAAAAGTCAACCTTAGCTAGAATAGCCGTCTATGGGTTTAGTTGGAATTCTCAATGAATGGAGTTGGAAAGAATAAATATTTTGTAGTTTCTCTGAAATACAGTACATTGGTGTTCAGACACTTTAATGGCTCAGATGTGCAGCTGTTCACTTTAGCAGACAAGGAAGTAAATAGGGAGAAAAATATGAACAAAACTGAGCACTAACCGTTTGCCAGATGATCTGGTTCAACCTGTCTTTCTTTTTTTTTTTTTTTTTTTTTTATCCTCACCGGAGGACATTTTTCTATTTTTTGTACAGATAGAGTGGGAGGGAGAGAGAGGAAGAGAGAGAGAGAGAAACATCGATGTGAAAGGGACACATCGAGTGGCTGCCACCCGCACGACCAACCAGGGCCGGGGACAAACTGCAACCGAGGTATATGCCCTTAGTGGGAACCGAACCCGGGTCTCTCCGGACCGCAGGCCAATGCTCTAACCGCTGAGCCAAACTAGCCAGGGCTCAACCTGTCTTTCATTCACCTCCTCAGCCCAGGGTAACCTAGGCTGTTGGCACAGGGATCTGGCATTTTTGCACAGTTCTAGGAGCTGACATGTGCACTTTCTGTCTTGTTTTCCTGGAGGATTTCAGTTGGTCCGCTGGCTCTAGTCTTGTTTCTTGGGATGCTGGTTCCCCCATTCTCACTCCCTTCCTCCCCAACACCTTTGGCCTCACAGTTTCTTATATCTTCAAGTCAATCTTCTCTCTCGTACCTCTGAGCCATTGTACTAGC